CCCCCCCCTCTCCATTCTACCCTCTTCTGCCACACAGATTCCCCATGGCCCAAATTTCAAACGTTCCCTGGAAGGAAGGGGGTCAGGATTTGGCCTTTTCATAGCAGCCCACTGGACAGGGCAGCATAGAATGGTGATCCTTCCCCACTTCAGCTCTGCCCACTCCCAGTTTATGGGCCAAACAGGATTACACCCAAGCAAACAGTGCCCTCAACAGAATTACAAAATACCTTCCTTCAGTGAGCTTCTGGACTTCACGTGCTTGCCTTAACCAGGAGCCAAGGGCAATGTTTTAATGGGGAGACATGGGTAAACTAGCATATGGGCTAACAAGCCACCACAGCACCCCCTAATACAGATTGTAGAAAGTTACAATAGAAAAGAAATTAGTTATAAGTATAGCCCCTAGCCCCAAGCAGTTAATTACCTATTATAGTTGCATTTTTTTAAAGCAGCTCTTTACTTCCTTATTTTCCATGAGACAGGTAGCATAGCCAATGATGAGGGCTGATGGGATTTGCAACCCAACATCTGGAAAAGCCACACTCTCCAGTACAGTGCTGCCTCGCTTAACAGGCGCCCCGCTTAACAACAAATCCGCATAGCAATTAAGTTTTTGCGATCGCATTGCGATGTTTTTAATGGGAAAATATCGCTTTGCGATGATCGGTAAGCTGTTTCACTTACCCATTTTCACATAGCGATGATTTTGCAACAGCTGATCGGCGGTTCCAAAATGGCCGCCGGGTTAAAAAAATGGCCGGCCGCTGTGTTTTCGCCTGGATTCCTCGCTTACCGGGCAGCAAAATGGCCGCCGTATGGAGGATTTTCACTTAAAGGTGAGTTTTTTGCCCATAGGAACGCATTAAATGGATTTTTAATCCATTCCTATGGGCTTTTTATTTTCGCATAGCGACGATTTTTGCTGCATGGATTATCGTCGCTATGCGGGGCACCACTGTATTCATCTGGAGCAGCAGTTCCCAAACTTTAGTAATGGAGGTGGTCCTAGCATTGCAAGTCTCAGGAACCCTGGCCAGCACAGCTCACAGCACAGGTGAGGGCTTTTGGGAGTTGCAGTCCAAGAACGCCTGAGTTAGCCAAGATTGGCAACCGCTGTTCTAGAGCATTTCAACACATCCATCCAATCAACCAATGGAGCAATCTCGTTGGTTTTTTTTTTAAAGGAAGAGAGAGTGAGAGAGCCAGCACAATTTATTCATTATTCAATGAGAAAAGCAATATATTCAACAACAAAAAATGTGGGGGAAGATGCCATTCCATGCTGATAATCTGAAACAAGCAACGAAGAGGCCTGCACACAAGTCAGATGATTAAAAACTTTAATTACTCCATCATCTTCGGATCTGGGCATGGAATTGTTCGAAATCATACTGTTCAAACCATGAGATGTGAGGAAAAACATCATTCCTCCCAAGACATTTTCCATATTTTTTTTCCTGGGTACTTAGATTCATGTCATGTACCCCTCATGTGATGCAGCTATTTCAGGACAGCCTGTTTCCGTAGAGAAACCATACCGTCAACCACTCAAGTGTCATCTCAATTTTGATTTCATTTCCTCTTTCCACTGAGATATGGCTGGGCAGGCATGGGGAGAAAAACTGCAAGCTGGCGAGCCACCATTAAGCCCTTTTTTCTAGACCTGCACCAGAGGGACTGGTGCGAATCCAGTGGAGCGGACCACCAAACTGAAGATTCAGTACCAAGAAGCTGAGGGTCAGCATCAAAAATCCACTCCTTGATGACTTACTTTAAAGCAGTAGAGTGGCACAATAGGAGGTGTGTTTCTGGAGCACGACTGTCTAGGAAATTCAGGGACCAGAAGTCCAAAACACAAACTTGCACACCTCTAGAATAACTTGTGTTTCTTCCTGATCTACCACATTCTCTCTCTTTCTAGCCATTATAAAGCTTCCTAAACAGTCTTTGCTCTTCAAATTAAAAAGATGCTCTTCCATTTTGGCTTCTTTCCCTCCACCCAGTTTGAAACCAGCTAAGCTAGGATAACAGTTCTGGAGCATTCCAAAGCTCATATTGGATCTAACCACTTTTAGTTAATTAGTTAGTGATGTGCTATCACCTTGGAACTTATAGAGACCCTATTATGGCTTCCAAGACAAAGAGAGGTATTAAAGAGTGGCTTTACCAGTCACCCCCCCCTATTGTTTCCATAACTACAAAGTGCTAGTCCGTCCCTCTGTCCACAACACCACACCTCACCTGTAACTCTTACAGTAATTCAGTAATAACTTACTACTCTAGAAATGTATTTCTACTTATGGCTCACATATGCACCTCTTGCTATTTGCTAATGGAATCACCACCATTCAGAGGAGGAGGTTTTCCTTTGAGACTGCACTTCAATGAGGATTCCACCTCTCCCACTACCCATTTGGCTTTCATTGACTTTTTAACTTCGCTCTTTGATCTCTTGCTTTGCGGATCTAGTGAACGCCTGTTGCTCCCCACTCTTCCTCTTCTAAGCCAACACAGGATCCTGTGAGCCCCATCCAGCAGAACAGACAGACGGACAGAGGTCACAGCCAGGCTTCTGTCTACCAAGAAGGGAACAACATCAATCTGTTATCTGAATGCCTCCCTAAATCTACAATCTCCATTTTGCAAATCAATCTGCCTACAAGAGTTTGGATTTTATGCTTCTTGTCCTGTTCCCCAATTTCATAACATCTAAGACTAATGATGAGCTTTGAAGGACCCATAAATCTCTTTATTCGTAACTTTTGAACTATCCAATAACAGTATTACTCAACCTAGAGTTTCAATCCCACTCATGTACAACTATTTTAACGTGGACCGCTCAGAGTAGTGCTGTGACAATAATGGGAGTGGTATATAAAATGAATGAATGAATGAATGAATGAATGAATGAATGGTTTCCATACTGGTTACAATAATGTTTTTCCTCAAAACCTTCCAGGTAAAAAACAGTCATGTGAACCACATACCATGTTGTTTGAAAAACAACACAAAACACCTGCACAGTTCACTAGTGTCCAGCTGGACACAGATCAATCATTTCCATGATGTTTATTTTTAATAAACACAAAATTGTTCACCTTTAAACTCAGCAGTCAAGTAGAAACGGCATGTCAAATATCCCAGGTTAAACCCTGGTATTTTCAGGCATGGAAAGCACACCTGTCTGAAATGGTGGAAGAGATCTGGAACCCTGGAATATGTAGGGCACCCATTTTGACAAGAGAAACCAATTTGAGATCCATAAATTGCAACAGCTGAATCCCTACCACCCTCCCATTGCCTTCAGTTTTCCCCCAAACACTGGAGGGTTTTAAAGATTTTTTTGCTAATCCATAGTAGAATCAATTGGTCCCTAGTGAATCAACACATTGGTAAATCCATTGATTAAATGAGTCTTCTTTAGTTTGAACTGCCAGTTGACTGCAGGCTACAGAGAGGGTGAGTAGAAGTGACTTGGAAATGCTCCTTTCCAAAAGAGGATGCTGGCTGAGATATTCAAAGAGTTCGGACCAAAAACGATCCTTGCAAGTTGTGGTATATAAAGGAAACATGGATCCCAGGCTGAAGGCAAACTCATCGAGGTCTCCAGAGCTGGAGATGACCAAAGACCTCTCCATTATTTCTAGAACCAAGTCCC